ACAACTCACAAGGGATTAATTTGCATTACAAGAAATAGCTAGCAAGTGTCAGAAAACCTGTCATGTCTGCCATTTGAGTAGCTTGCAGCTCTGAGCTTCACCCAGAGGCCATTCCACAGTCAGATGGAGAGTCATCACGAAGCAAATTCTATGGTCTCACGTGCCCCTCCTTCAGGGAGCCGACGCCGTGGTCATCAGATGTTGGGAAGACTTTGACCAAGGCCACTAGTGACAGATCAGTGTCTCAGGCTGAGTCATTCCAACTTGCTAGCATGAAAATCACAGAGACCGTGGCAGGTGGGGGGTGGGGCGCTCTTTCCCGAAGGCCACGGTAGACACAGGTGCACGTGATATTTACACACGGGGCAGCCCCCCTGACTCCAAAAAGCATCTTGCGGCGAAATGGAGCTCAACACTGTCCTGAACATGCGAAGGACTTTGCTGCTTTTAGAGTTTTTTCTAGATTAGAGACAGGTTAGCCTGCTTTGTGACAAGCCAGCCCTCTGTGTAGAACATGCTTTTATGCTTCTTGAATGCACAAAGGAGTCCACCCTGCCCAGAATGCTACATATACAAGCTACCTTCGATTCTCTAAGGCTGTTTCTGTGTCTGAGGCACAATTTGAACGTAGACTTTGGAAACTTGAAGGTACACGTTCGCACCCACAGTCCTTCAGTCACCCTTCCCGTGTTGTTACTGTTTGGACGTCAAGTGTCACCGCGTTGGTCACTGTCTTTCATGGTCTCATGAAAACATACTTATTTCAAGTGTCATAAACACACTTCTCTGGCAATAGCCCGACACTACTCTTTTCCTCTTGTTCACAGCAGGTTGTACCCTGATCCACACCATATCGGGAGATCTGCTCAGCCCAGCTTTCCATCACATGACATGTGGCAAAAATGGGGCTAGTCTACGTCAATCAGAATGCAGTAGCACGCCCTGAAGGAGGGAGGGCGGGAGAGAGGGGCCATCCCATTTGAGGACCAGTTTCCTGGGTCTTGGAAATGAGCCATCAGGCAAGAGCTGGAAAATAATCTGGTCTCGTCCATCCCTGACTACTTAGGTCTCCTTCTCTTCTAATTGTCTCTGTTCACTGTCACCTTGCCATTCCAGATCCCACACTGTGAGGTCCCAGGTGAAATAATCTCATCATTCTCACGTCCCTGAGGCAATGTGTTCCACTTCCCAACCCCTGGGTCTCCGTCTTCCAGGAGGCCTAACTAGAACCATTATAGCATCAATAAGTCGTTCCCTGTGGAAGTCCCTAATGGGACTCCCAGACAGGAGTCTTCCTCTGAACTTTGGAGAGAGCCTTGCCCTGGGCAAGGTAGTCTCTCTATTCTGCCAGAAGAGCAAGTGGGGGACCGGGGGAGAATGATAAATACAAAAGTAATAACACTCTAGAAAAATGTTCATTTTGACAATAGCTTATTGCTATTCACATGGCTTTATTAGGACTTTCTTACCAAATTATGAATAGGGAACTGAGAATCCTCACATGTATCCTGTAGCTTGATTTTTAAAAGTTTCTTTCTAGTTAGGTTTTTTTTTTTTTTAAATGCTTTAGACTTTGATTTTGAAAGACAAAGCTGGTTTTCTTCCCCCAAAGGAATAGCAAAATGTGCTGTTGCCTCCACCTCCATGTGACATTTCAACTTAGGAACATATGGGGGAAGAAATGAACATTGTAATTACTGTTCAAAATTACAAGGGGGAAAAGACAGTTTTAAAATCAACTTTAAATCAAAATAACTTAATGATTATTGTTTGATAATCTCTGACTGTTGTTAAATATTTTCCATTAGAGCTTTACTGTCTGAAAAAGAAATCGTGCCATATTTTCTTAAGACCAGACAAATTTCAGCTGGATACTTAGAAGACAATCATAAATTCAATAGCTTGTGAAAGAAACCAAAGGTCCAGGTGCGCCTGGGTGGCTCAGTCGGTTAGGTGTCCAACTTCAGTTTAGGTCATGATATCACAGCTCGTGGGTTCGGGCCCCGAGTTGGGCTCTGGGCTGACAGCTCAGAGCCTGGAGCCAGCTTCAGATTCTGTCTCCCTATCTCTCTGCCCCTCCCCAACTTGTGTGCTCTCTCTCTCTCTCTCAAAAATAATAAATCAATCAATAAATAAATCAAGAGTCTGATGTAAGATCTGATCTACCTCTCTGCTCACATTTCTTCGGATGAAGTGAAAATCCAATAGTATTTCTCACTGGGGATTTGGGTTTTGCTTTCAACCACAGGTAGTTAATATTCGGTTGTTAGCGAGTTAATTTTTTAAATGGGTAATTACAAAAGCCAACACTCACATGGCATTTACTGCATGCCTGGTATTGTTCTAAGTGCTACGAGCACGTCCTAACTCATTTAATCCTCGCAGAACCACCACAAGGTAGACACTATGGTTCATGGATGGAAAACTCTGAGATGCAGAGAGATGAACCAAAATTAACACTATGTCGCACAATAACCCTGGGAAACCCAGAATCCCCTCCCAGGAAGTCTTAAATACTACACTTTGGTGCCAGAATGAGTTACTACACTTGTCACACCAAGGATCATCCTCCCTGATTAATATTATGCGTTTTCATAAGAGAGGAGAGAGAATGGCAGAGAACACAAGAAGACGTGAACAAAGGCACAAAAAAAGTTGAAATGATTTGCTTACGATTAGTGAAGCAAGCACATTCATCATAAGTATTATTATTTCTGCCATTGCGACTTTAGTTTCCCACTGACAAAACACCCCCTTCCAGCGGCAATTTCTAGACTCTTAAGAATGATTAGCAACTGGAAGCAAGTAAGGCTGATGGAACTAGGAACCGGAAAAGGATGTATTCAGAGCACAGGTACACTATTCCCTATGTAATAGGCACTGTCTCGTGGACCAAACTTTCGTTCACCTTTGGTGCTATTAAAGGCTTGAAGTATAATGAGTGGGTGAAGGAAGGATAAAATATGGCTTAACACCCACCCAATCAAAAGTCTTGTAACCAACTCCTCCCAATTCACCACTGCCCGGGACAAGCAAAGAATCCAGCCCTGGCTGAGGGTGACAGACCCACCAGTAACGGTGGACGCTATTATTGCTCCTGATACTGTAACCATGGATATTGGTAGTCGTAACCCAGAGTATCTTTTTCCTGCCTTTGCATTGGCTAGAAATAAAGGGCTGAAGAATAGACCCTTTCTATTGTCCACTCACTCACATGAGGTATTTGTGGGGCAGTTTGTGGAAAAAATTCCATCCCATGTTCACTGACGTTCTCCTTGCCTAGGACAGTCTTGGGAATCATAATTAAAATTTGCCCACATTTCCTACTCTGAAAACAGAGAACCTGTCTCATGTTCAGAAATGACGTAATGCTTCATAGGGTGCCTGGGTAGCTCAGTCAGTTAAGTGTCTGACTCTTGATTTTGGCTCAGGTCATGATCTCACGGTTCATGAGTTCAAGCTCCATGTTGAGCTCTGCATTGACAGTGCAGAGCCTGCTTGGGATTTTCTCTCTCCCTCTCTCCCTGCCACCTCCCTGCTCACACTCTTCCTCTCAAAACTAAATAAATAAACTTTTTAAAAAAATGACTTAATGCTTCACCTTTGACATTTCAGAATCATTTTGAAGGATTTCTATTAAATTCCAGAATTGAAAAGGAAAATGGAGAACAACCAGTTCATTAAGTCCTTTCTTTTTCCTGTCTCTTTATCTGATTTGTTTTCTGAAAACACAGGGAGAAACAATAATTGTTTGAAGGCTGTCTCCAGACTCTAAATTACAAAACAACAATTTATTATCTTAGAGGATAATGATCTGTCCACCTGTAGATTTATACAGACATCTTTGAAGAAGACTGACAAGCAGGGGAATTTTTTTTTAGAATTTAGTTTGTCTTCTGTTGCACCCAATAATTCAAAGCTACTCAGGGTATTTTCCTGAGTCAGGAGCCCTTGAAATGAAAATGCCACAATTGTCAGCTGGAACGATGAGCAAGATCAATACAAATCGCCACGTTTGGGGAAGAGGGGGCCATTAATGTAGCACTCTGTCTGCAGAAGACCGTGCATCCTGAGAGGACTTTCCCAAGACTGGACTAATGTGCCTGTAGAAGAACTGAGAGACCCTCCCCCTGGGGAGGGAGGGGCGGAGACCTTGGGGTTTAGTTTGTTGCAGAGTGTATCACAAATCATAACACCAGGACCTAAAACCATGAGGTAGGACTTAACTCACCCACTGTGACCAGATTTCCCATAGCCAGTTACGTTGCTTTCATTATTCTTTTGGTGAGTGTAGTGGCGGCAAAGTAGAAAACTATCGAATGCCTGGATAATTTTTGTTGTGTTGGCAAGGCTGCGCTGAGACACTCTGACGCTGCAGGAATCATGATTTGGCTGTGCGTAGATTTATAATGACTTCTTTATAGAAGACGGACAACTAGGAGACTCTTAAAAAGATTAGTCTGTCTCACGTTGCACCCAGTAATTCAGAACGGTAAACGTAGGTCTAATTTTTTCAGTCCCAACACACTGTCTAAATTTCCTTTTCATTGTCAAGTATATGATTACCATTAGGAACATCTTTCCTCACCCACCCCCAAAGCAGTTCAGATAACAAAAGCAAGAAGTTTAAGGGCATTGATTGTTTCTTTTGCTTTCATACATAGCTTTCATAACATGAGCTGTTTGTTGGTCATCAAATTACTTAAGGGTCAGAAATGTATTCTTTTCATAACGTTCTACAAGATAGACTCGTAGAAGTGTCTCCTTTTTATGGTGTTCTGCAAAATAGTCTCATTAACTTTGCTATTATTTCTAATTGATTCTTCTAAATTGATACAGTCCATCAAAACCTCACTGGTAAAAGGGCATATTAAGCATGGCGGGATATTCCAGTGTTAGTGTTGGAGGGATCCCTGCAGTCAGCTAGTCTCTTTTTCCCTCTGCCCAGCAGAGATGACCTATTTGGCCATTAATACTCAGACACCTTTCATTTCCGGTAGAGTTCTGGTGAGGAGGATTCTGTAGCCGAACCAAGACTATCCACCAAGAGTTCTGCTGTCAAGGGTGATTCCAGACTTCCGGCAATTGACCAAACATCAGTCAAACAGAAACATAAAAGTACCATGACTCCACGGAAACCGGAGAAGGTGGGCCCCAGCAAACCCTCTTCAGGTGAGTGACTGATGTGTGGAAATTCACAAACTCTAAAATCCCAGCACTACAGGTAATGCCAACACTCAGACTGGTGGTACCGGTTACACCAAGGGCCCTCTGAGTGGCGAATTCAGGTTTTGGAGGGTCCGGTGATCTTATACAAGTGGTAAAATTCATTCTAGAGTAGAAGAGCAAGTCAAGAAGGTGTGACTTATGCAGAACAACTGTTCCCACTGCCCAAATTTGCTGCCCAGTCATTGGCTTTGTGTGACACTTTCCTAGAATTGGTGCCTTTTCGTCTTCCTTACCCTTCTGGGGTGGGGATGGGGGAAGGAAGGCATTTGGCCCCAGGTATCAAATTTTATGACTCAAGCGAGAGCATGAAGAGAAGCTTTCAAAAGCATCTGAATGGCATAATTTATAGCCAAGAAAGAGAGAGTAATAAAGTCCTCCAATACTGGGGTTGTCCTCTCTGGGAGAAAGGGGGCTTGATACATCCTCCCTTTTGTGCAATTTGGTAAATAATTCACTCTTTAGCTGCCTTTGAAGCAGAGATCAGTCCTCCGCTTGAGGCAGGAATGATTTAATAGTATCCAGAAAGAGGATAAATTCAAGTGAAAGCGTAGAGTCCCTCAGGCTCATCCCCATCAAAGCCAACATATGGAGGACAAACTTGATTCCTCCAGGAACTGACTTCGAAGTTGGGGTAACTAGGCAGAAAGGTCTGCCTTCTGCTTGCAGTAGAATGGAAAGGATCCAGATTAACTGCCGAAGAATTTGTAAATAGTGTGCAATTCATTTAAATACAAATCACAACTACTCTCTAATCCTAAATAGCTCTTGTCATGCAACCACCCGTCCAGTTAAGTCTTAATGCATTTTTAGAAAATGGCAGCTTTCCCTCAGATTAACCACCCACATTTTGTTGCTTTAATGAGGTAAAAAAAAAAAAAAAAAAAAAAAAAAAAAAAAAAAAAAAAAAAAAAGAAATCTGAAATGATGTCCTTCCAAGCAAAGCCCCAACACTTTTTCCTTATTTAATTAGGGGAAAGTATCATTAATAGTTAACAATTTCTCATTTTTAAGACTTTTAGTAGGAAGTGTGTTTAAAATTTTTTTTAATATTTATATTTGAGTGACAAAGAGGGCACACGGAAAAGGGGCAGAGAGAGAGGGAGACACAGAATCCAAAGAAGGCTCCAGGCTCTGAGCTATCAGCACAGAGCCCTATGAGGGGGCTCAAAGTCACAAACCATGAGATCATGACCCAGGCCACAGTCAGACGTTTAACCCACTGAGCCACCCAGGCGCCCCAGTAGGAAGCATGTTTTAAATTCAGCTGTTTAAGAATGGAATAGGGCAGATAAGATGATTCCCCAATTGCTTCAAAATATATGTGGTCATTTATTGAATTGGGGAGGTTTTTAATAAAAAAAAAATTGAAGTTTAAATAATGCAATTCCATTCACTAGATATGATTTCTAACCTTCTTGCTAAAACTGGGTAGCTATTTGCTTGGGCTACTTTGTCATCTGTCAAGTAAAATCATTAAAATGTACGGTTTAGGCCCACTAGATGATCTTAGTTTGTGTGATTAATACAGATGCTTTTCTGACCGAGCAAACTCCAGATGGACCTTACAACACTGACAAAAGGAAGAATTAATTCACTTTACATTTTATAAAACATCACATCTGAAGAATTACTAGCCTGGAAACACCAAGGTTTAGGCAAGAGAGCCAAGTTGGCAGAAGGCTACCTATTTCATCAAATGAGGGATGTTACTTGGAGTAAAAGCTTTTAAAAAGTACCAGCTTTATTGTCCTATTATGACCCCAGACCACGTCTAGGACCCGCGCAGGAAGGGGCTAGACTGGGGCCTGGCTGTCCAGTGAGCACAGCGGTCCTGGTGATCAATGCCGGTTGCTACAGAAGCCTGATCAGTTGTACAGCAAACTGGATTCACGAAGTTGGCTAAAAGCAAAGCGTTGGCGTGTTAAGATCCACTCGTTCTACATGTGTAGATGCACCCTCAGAGTTCCTTAATTAGCACAGTGAAATGAGAGCCCAGAGACATGGTGAGAATTTAAGCTGAGTCTTTTCAGGAAAAGTCTAGTTGAGTGACGCTAGCAACTCAGAAAATTCAAAGGACTCTCCTGTGGTTCTAGAAAAAGAGGATTGGGGGTCTGAATTATCTAGACACATTGATCCAGCTCACCAGGTTCCTGTTTTTCTTTACCTCTGTAGAGGAATATTTTCCTAAAGCATTTTGGGGGTGAGCCAAAGTTGACAGTGAGTCACCAAAACTCCTCCCATTTCAGAACTGAGATTCTGTGTCAAACTGAAGCATCCAAGCCAGTGAAATCCCTTTGCAACACCTGTGTAATAGACTAACCTTCCATACCGAGGTCTACTAGGCTTTTCCTGAATAAAATAATATAGCTGGGAAATGTGGATTGCCTTACACGCGAATCTATGTAATGATAATCCATTGAAATCAAGTTTTTCCTTATATCCATGTGACCTACCATCTAGAACCCCCGAGAAGGCTATTTACAATAGAGGAACCCATGGTGCCCTCTACCAATAGATTTATAACTGAGAAGGTGTCAGATTTTCATTGTTCTTCACACTCTTTTAGAAGGAGTTCACGCATTTTAAATTAAGTAAGTTCATATATTCCATCAAACTGCTGCTAAATGAGTTGGCTTGTAATTCTCCGTGTTACCCCCCCCCCCCTTCGTGTAGTGTCGGGGAAGTGCCTTAGAGTCAAAATGCTTGGATTAGCATCTGGGTGCCATTTCTTATTTGCTTGCGTGCCTTTGGGCAAGTGACTTCTCTGTGCCTCAGTTTCCTCATCTGTAAAGTGGGGGGTCAAAACAGATCCCACCTCCTGGGATTGCTGTGAAGTTTCAATGATAAAATGTACGCTCAGCCATTAGAACAGTGCCTGTTACCATTAAGTACCTGGTAAATTACAGCATATTGATATCCAGGACACAAGAACTATGTTTAGTAGGGAATGAATTATAAAACCTTGTTTTCTCTGTCTTAATGTTGCCCCCACTCCCCACAATCCTTTTTTTCCCCTTTACCAAAAATCGAGTTATATTTTTTAAGTCCTAATATAAATGCAGGTACAAACACTTTTACTACACCCTGAATTTCCAGAGCAGAACACAAAAGGGGGAGAAATGAATAACCAGAAAGCATTCACCAAGCCAGAGATTTGCTTCATCTCCAAAAAGACATGGAAAAGTCGGGCAGCGAGTCCAGACCCAGCTGTGTCTGATGTGCAATGGATTCAGAAATCCTATTTCACGATCAAGGTGAACTCTGGTCCAGGGAGGGACAGAAAAAGAGCTACATAGTCTTTCAGAATTCTGCATGGATCTGGGAGAGGCTGAGCAGGTCTCCAGGCCCCGCAAACGCTGGGGGACAGAGAAGCACAGGGAGCTACTATGGCCTCCTGGCCTCCTGCCTATACCCGAGACCCCGCCCAGTGCTAGCCTGAGTTGTAAAGGAGCCATCTTCCTTTTCCAGGATGCGTACAGGCATCCAAAGGCCACTGTGCTGCGGGGTTCTGGCGCCTGGAGTCCTGCAGACCTCTCTGCCTCAGTGCCCGGCACACGGGAAAAGAGCATGCCCTCTCCTGTCACCTAGAGCTTGGGCACGGTCTCCCAGTTCTGTGCCAGGAAAATGGATCTGGATGGAGTCCTAGAGCCTGCTTCCAAAGTCTTGCCCTTTTAAACAAAGCCAAGTGTTCTGAAATTATCCTCACTTATTACTGAGTTCAATGTTAGTCATTACCAGATTCACATTTGTGGGAGTAGCAAAGCCTATTCAGCTTAATAATGGCTTCTCGTGAGGACGTATTCTTGTAAAACCAAGAAAAAGCAGTGAACTCAGATTTAAAAAGATAAACATCTAACATAACTGTGGTCTCTTGTGAGTCGGGAAATATTTATTTGAAGGGCGGCCTGGAAGAGAAATTTGACGCAAATCCCAAATCTTCATAACCTACCTTGCAAATAAATTCTGTGGAAGGTTTTCTCGAAAGGCCAAGATTAATGAATTTCCAGGCAGGTCCCTTGGTGTCCCAACAACTTTCCAGGCCATCTGCCCAAGTTAGAAAACAACCACCATAAGTGAACGCTCTTTCTACGTAGAGAATACTAATCCTCAGTCGTTTATGGTAATGCTTCCGAGACCGTGGGGCTCAGGGAGGTCACAGGGCCCAGAACGGGAAGCCATGGCTCAGCATCCTGGTCTACTACTTTATAGCCCTAAATGTGAGCTGGCAACTTCCCCGAACTCAGTTTCCTTGTCAGTAAAGTCGAGTTGTTACCTACCTCACCAGGTAGATGGGAGGATTAAAACCTTGTGGGGAGACTAGGCCGTAGGGAAAGGTCAGTCCTCAATCCTCCCTCTGCTTGGAAATCCCGACTCCCACCCCCACCACCTGCTGCTCCAGGCCTGGCATCTTTTTATAAGCTGCTCAACCAAAGCCATTTTAGTCTGAGATGTAAGACAGGTTATAACTTTCTTGTAAAAAATTGAGGAACTCCAAGTAGTCTAGGGCCTTGGGCCTTAAAATGTCCCCAGACCAGGAGCAGAGGCCTCACCTGAGAGCTTGGTAGAAATACAGAACCTCAGATCCCAGTCCAGACTGACCAAACCAGAACTTGCCTTTGATAGTATCTCTGGGGTATTTGTGTGCACAGATGAGTTTGAGAAGCTCTGCTTTAGGGTCGGCCTACAAATTAAATTAGGAAGAGGAGAGTATAAAGCTGGCACCCTATAGGGAGGCAAGGACCAGGTCCCTGAGGGCCTTGAATGTCAAGCAGAAAGGCATTGGCGCATCAACCTGGGAGGGGATCTAAGTGAGATGTGGTGCGACCCAACTGGCACTTTTACAAGTGGGCTGTGGCATGGAGAGGGGCCTGAAAGGGGAGTGAGAGCAGCCTGACAGAGGCCGAGAGACCAGACAAGCTGTACGTGCACTGCACCCAGAGAGA